GCAGAGTTTCAGTCTCCCCTGTCCTTGGATGTGGGCATTTCTGTGCCTTGAAATAAGGCAGAAGTGATGGTGTGAGACTTCAAGGTCATTAGGGACATTGTGGCCTCCTTGTAGCTCTCCTTCCTGGATCATTTGATCTGGGGGAAGCCAAGCACTATAACAGAAGGATATTTAAGCAGTCCTATAGAGGGGTTCACTGGGAAATGAACTGACATCTCCTGCCCACCACCAGCACTTACTTGCCAGGCATGTGAGTGAACCCCATGCAACTCCAGCCCCGGTCAAGCCTTCAGATGATGCGGCCCCTGCTGACATCCAGACTGCAGCCTCATGAGAAACCCTGAACTAGAACCACCCAGCTGAACATTTCCTAGATTCCTGACCCACAGAAACTGGGAGGTAATAAACGTTAGTTGTTTTAAGCTGCTAAATTTTGTGGGTAACTTGTTGCACAGTGGTAGATAACCAGTACACAGGGCCAACCTTCTGTTTTCCCAATCTCAGCAAATTGTGCCCAAACCAGGATACTCGTTCTTCCTCCCCCAGATCCGACTGGTGATCAAGTCCTGTTATTTCCATGGAGGTATCTTCTTGATTCCACCTCCTTTGAATTTTGCTGTCATTCTCTTAGATGGTTGTTTCTCATCAAAGGTGTTTAAATTGCCTGTTGACAGGTTCCTTGCCTCCAGTCATACTCCCTTATATTTTTCCTCCACACTGACATCAGAGCAGTCTTTCCGAAATGTGAACCTGGTCATTTTGTTTCTTTACTTAAATTGTTCTCACCAGCTAAGGGTTACTGCATCCAAACACCTCAGCAAAGGCAGGTAAAGTTGTTTGATGTTTGCTCCCTGTCTTGCTTTCCAGCTTGATTTCCTGTCTCTCATGCAGGAGGGAGTTCGCCATCCCAAAATGCTTGTTTATATTGCTTTGCAGATTTCCGTGTAGTTTCAAAGGATGCAATAACATACAAAAAATTTATTCAATTTGTAACGAAAACTGTCAACCACTGGGGAAGTCGAACTGGTGGAGACTTAGCTACTTATAGTTTGGTCACGTCAGGTTATCCTAAAACATTCTAGCGTTAAAAAAAAATCACGATATTTTGGCTAGGATTCAGGCTGTTCCAAATACCGATTTCTTTTTTTTTTTTTTTAAGATTTTATTTATTTATTTGGCAGAGAGATCACAAGTAGGCAGAGAGGCAGGCAGAGAGTGAGAGGGAAACAGGCTCCCCGCTGAGCAGAGGGCCTGATGCCGGGCTCCATCCCAGGATCCTGAGATCATGACCTGAGCCAAAGGCAGAGGCTTTGACCCACTAAGCCACCCAGGTGCCCCTAAATATCGATTTTTAACCTATACTATGGAAGCCAGTCATTTGAGATCCTAGAAATTGCCTTTTTTGGCCTTCTCAGTGTTAGGAAGATATAGTTTTATATTGTTCCTCATTTCTGATATCCATGTGAATGCCTTTTGCCTTAACAGGCAGTGAATTCCAGAGTGGAAAGCAAACCCTGGTACTCCCTGTCCTACCGCACACTGAAAAGACAGATTGTCTGTGACTGCGGTTTGATTCAAAATGTTTATCCTTTTTTCAGTACCAAATGAAGATCAGATTATTTAGATCATCAGCGTTCTAGAGAAAAACAGCCATGGTGTAGATTGGTACCCAGTGCAATTATTCTGTGTAGCAGCTCTTTTCTTCCTGGCTGCCTACATGGCAGGTCCCTGGGCTCCTTCTCCACTGCATGCCTTGGCCCTTGAATATGAACCTCACACGTGAAAGGCACTGATTCATCCACAGAGGTTCCAGTCAATGGTAAATTGAAATTACCTGGCAGCCCACACGTAGGCTCACAGTTCCTCTTCCCCGTGGCATGCCATTGGGATTCCTTGAGGTTCGGTGCATTTTTTGATGGAGGAATTTTGCTAATACCTCAATCTGTGTTCTTGCTGACCAAAATACACGTGTATTAACTTTGGGGCTCTTCCTGAAGACGTTTCATTAGTGTGTGTCTGAATGTGTTTTATCTCTGAAGAGAGCAACTTTAAGCGATGCCTCAAGAGTTTTGTTCTTTTCCCTTGGTGACGAATGCATCGGTTTTGCACCGAGAAACATTATTTTGCCCTTGAGGCAGAGCTCGTTTGGTTTACCAACGAAGCCATTGTACTTTGAAAATGACACGAAAGGCATTTGTGGTTTACTGCCACTCCTTCCAAAGCTTCATAAAAGCAGTGAAATGCTCTAGCTTTAGGAGAAAATGGGTGAATGGTCCAGTTTTTCAGCTTTGCTGATGTACCTCCTGTTTGCATTCCCCTTTCTTAAGTGCCAATGTGGCATACCACTCAACCTACGGGGCACGCATCTTTCCCCCTCGTATCTTATTCCTGTTCAGTAGTGGTCTTATCGTTGTTAAGAGTCATATTTTTTCTTTTTTTTTTTTTAAGATTTTTATTTATTTATTTGACACCGAGATCACAAGTAGGCATAGAAACAGGCAGAGAGAGAGAGAGGGGGGAAGCAGGCTCCCTGCTGAGCAGAGAGCCCGATGCAGGGCTCAATCCCAGGACTCTGAGATCATGACCTGAGCTGAAGGCAGAAGCTTGACACACTGAGCCACCCAGGTGCCCCAAGAGTCATATTTATATCACTCACAACCTGACTTTTACATTTCATTGATCCACTTTGCTATGTTAATTTTCCTGAACATATATAATGCTACAAAGTAGAAAAAGGTGAAAATTGTGAATTTTTTAAAAAAGATCTTATTCGGGGCACCTGGGTGGCTCAGTGGGTTAAAGCCTCTGTCTTCGGCTCAGGTCATGATCCCAGGATTCTGGGATCGAGTCCCACATCGGGCTCTCTGCTTGGTGGGGAGCCTGCTTCCGCCTCTCTCTCTGCCTGTCTCTCTGCCTACTTGTGATCTCTGTCTGTCAAATAAATAAATAAAATCTTAAAAAAAAAGATCTTATTCATTTATTTGAAAGAGAGAGAGAGAGTACAGGGCAGAGGGAGAAGCAGACTCCCCACAAAACAGGGAGTCCTACGTGGGGCTCGATCCCCAGACCCAGGATCATGACCTGAGCCAAAGGCAGACGCTCAACTGACTGAGCCACCTAGGCGCCCCCAAAATTGTGAATTTTAACAACTATAAATACCAGCACATGAGTATGATGACAATATATTGTGAAAATGTAGTAACAAGACTAACCAAGATGAACCATGTTCTTTTAATTGAACGTCAGCTGCAGAAAAATGACCAGCGCAATTCTAAATTCCAAACTTCCTGATTACATTTAGAATATAACAGGATTTCAGTGAAAATAATTTTACATTTCAAATTTGGGAAATATATGTGAGCAGAATTGTTTCATTTGCTTCTTTTGAAATCGAAATTCCCAGAGTACCTTCTGACATTCTTTAGTTCCATTTTTCTTTGATTTATTCAGCAAACATTTACTAAGTGTTCTGTTCTGGGCACTCTGTAAGGGGCAGAGGGATATGCAGTGACTAGAACAGAGTTTTTGTCCTCAGGGAGCTCATGTTTTTGCTTGTGTGGTTTTTGGTATCATATACAGTCTGCACTTTGTTGCTTATTTTTCTGTTTCTCCTTTTCTATACCCATATTTCAGATCCATAAACTATTTTACAATCTATCTCCTCATTTCAAATTCCTTTGTTCTCCAATCTTAAACATACAGTAAATACTTTGGTATCAATTGTTGTGCATATGGATTTAGGAATTCCACTGTTCAATTTCAGGTATAAAACAAAAAACACATTCTTAAAAAATTCAAATATAGAAATAGAGTAAAATATGAACAGCCCTCTTTACAATCTCCACTCCAACTGCCTCCCAGGAGCCATACACGCAAATGTGTGAAAGTGTGTATTTCCCACATTTTTGCTAACACTTTTTATCCCTTTCAAATATATTAGTCCATGAGATGCTTTAAAACATTACATTGATTTAGTTCATGTTTGTTGGATACTAGGTAGACTAAGCATCTTTTCACATTTTTATTAGTATTTTTCCTTTTGTGAATTGCCGTTTCTTATCCTTTGCCTTTTCTCTGTGTGACTGTTTCTTCTTGAGTTAATTTTGGTAATCTGTGTTTTCCTAGAAAATTATCTGTTTTGCCTAGTCTACAAGTCCATACATGTAATTACATCCTCTCTCTTGTTTTTAATTTCAGTTTTTTTCATCTTCTAGACCATTCTAAAAAATGTTTTCATTTCATTAACTGCTGCTTTTTTCTGTATTCATTTCTTCTTTCCACTTACTATGGATTTAGGGAAGGCCCCCTCTGTATACCAGGGGACGTGGGACCAGAGATCAAAGGCGATTGTTCAGGGTTTGGAAAATTACTGTTGACATCATTCTTCCCCACCACACTGTCACAAATATAGCTCAAAATCAGCAAAGAAACATGAGTCAGGGGGCTTCCGGGTGGCTCAGTGGGTTAAGTCTCTGCCTTCGGCTCGGGTCTTAGTCTCAGGGTCCTGGGATCGAGCCCCACGTTGACGCTCTGTTCGGTGGGGAGTCTGCTTCTCCCTCTCCCTCTGTCCCTCCCCCAACTCGTTCTCTCTCTCTCTCATAAGTAAATAAAATCCTAAAAAAAAACCCCAAAAACAAAACATGAGACAGGAATCAGACTGATGGAGATTGGAGATCAGCTTTGTTAATGCAAAGGCTGACTTGGAGAAGAAGTCTTGACCCATGCTCCCAGTCAAGCTAATGACCCTCTCCTTCTGAATTAAACTGGTCCAAAATATCCTTTTTTTTTTTTTTAAGATTTTATTTATTTATTTGACACAGAGAGAGATGGGGGAGAGAGAACACAAGCAGGGGGAGTAGGAGAGGGAGAAGCAGGCTTCCCGCTGAGTAGGGAGCCAGATGTAATGGGGGACTCCATCCCAGGACCCTGGGATCATGACTTGAGCTGAAGGCAGACGCCTAACGACTGAGCCACCTGACTTGACCAAGATATTCTTAAACATAAATGCTTTTTTTTTGGAAGGTTCAACAGGAAGCCAGTTAGAGTTAAATAAATCAATTGCTCAGAGATACCTAGGGCCACGTGGCCTCAGGCAGGTTCTGTCTTTTTTTTTTTTTTTTTTAAGATTTTATTCGTTTATTTGACAGAGATCACAAGTAGGTAGAGAGGCAGGCAGGGGGGGGGGGAGGAAGCAGGCTCCCTGTTGAGCAGAGAGCCCACCGTGGGGCTCGATCCCAGAATCCTGGGATCATGACCTGAGCTGAAGGCAGAGGCTTTAACCCACTGAGCCACCCAGGCGCCCCAGGTTCTGTCTTTATAGTTCCACTGGGAGACCCAGGTCGGCAACAAAGAATGTATGATTTGGCAATCCCTGATTTGGTGGCTGCCTGAGCAGGGCCCTAGTAGAGACATCCGGGGACTACTGGGGAGCATGGTGGAAGGATCTTGGGGTTCGAATGGGAGGTGGGAGACTGCGAGTCTGGCAGGGGAGGGAAAGGACCTGAGACTGGGGCGCACAGTAGGCCAGAGGGAGTGTGGTAGTGGGACAACCAGAAGAAGAACAGAGGTCTGAGAGGCGTCGTTCAGATTCAGAATCCTGGTGGCAGCAGCGGCGCTGATGGGCATGTCCCCGAGTGTGATGGAAATTGTGAGGGACTGAGGCTGAGTCATTGTTCAGACTCTCTGGGGCTCTTGTTCTTTCCCAAATTAGTTTCACATCTGCTTGGAAACCAAAAGAGTCGCTGCTTTCCTATTCCTGGCTAATTAAACAAATTCAAACATATGCACAGCTTCACTCAGCATTCTCACTCCGCTTGCTCGGGAGGGAAGCGAAGTGTGGGCGGCAGGTGTGCTCCTCCACGCAGAAGGTGGTCAGTGAGGGGACGGGGCGGGGGGGGGGGGGGCGGAGGACAGCAGGGAGGGTCCCTCTCCAGAGCCAGACATACCTCTTGGCTGCAAGACCTCTCAGGATTCAGGCGTGTGAATTAATCTGGCACTCTAGGAGGGCCTTTTAAAAAGAAAATGTATCAGCGTATGGTAACTTGTAAACCAACAAACTTCTTGTCCCCAGCCATGTGTTTGCAGAAAGAGCCTCCCCTTCATGTTTTCTTGGGGGAGGGTGTGATGAACCTCGCTGCATAGCTCAGAAGAAGGCCAACTTCCCTAACCACCACTTGCCCAGTATGCTGTGCTTCCCTCTGTAATTACTTCTCTCTGTGTAATTTCTCACAGTGAAATGTTATGCTTTAGAACTAAATTAAAAAGTCATCGAGAGAGATGGTTAGGTTAACATAGAAGTCAAGTTCCTCTTAGAATGAGTGTTTACGGTCAGGCTTGATAGATATTTACAAAGAAGGGCAATGTATTTCTATACTACGTGCACGTGTCAAGTTTCAGACTGTATTTAGTTAGTAGATTAACATATTCATTACGACCTGCTGAATTCATCAGATAAACAGTTTATATTTATAATCCTTTTCCGGTAATGAAGACTGGATCTCTTGCTGACTGGATGAAGCTTAGAGACCCATGAAGATAAGATCTTCACCATTTTCACTCCTGGGCGTGTGTCCTTTCATGCTGCCCCATAACAGATTCTCTTGGGTACAAGAGTCCTAAGGATCTGACCGTGAAGGTCTTTGCAAAAATTTGACACACATGTCTTTGAAACCCATTCAGAGTCACTTTCATCTTTTGGCTTTGTCCTAGTTATTTTTAGAGTTGATAAATTTATTTTGCAAGAGCAAAACAGAGCATTTTTAGGCTTCCATTTTTGGCTAAGCTTTAGGAAATTCTGTTCTTTGGAGAACTGGCGGGTTTCCCACTGAGGCACACAGGAGCTCAGCCCGCACAGAGGTTTCCTTCAGCACTGGTCTGGATTCATCCATCCAGCTCTTGGATCTAGACCACCCGGACACGGTCCAGCTTCCATGCAGATGAGCAACCGGACATGCCACTGAAGGCCAGTCTTACCCTGTTCTAGGCCATCCGAGAGTAGAGATTTCATGGTCCCTGCAAAGGATGTCTCATCCAGGCTTTAATTATTTCTGCAATTAAGAAAGTCTTCCTTGGGTCAAATAAACTTACTTTCTGCAGTATAAGCCATCAGTATTGAGAGTCTGATGCTCTCATGATAGATAATTGCTCTTATGCTTAAATAGTATTTTTTAAATTGTAAAACTCCTACATATTCATCGCAATTAGTGGAGAAGACTCTTTAAAGCATAAGGGAAGTTTAACACTACCAGCTAGAGATAACTGTCTCTTTTTTAGTAATTTATTTTATCTTTTGAATTTTATTTTATTGTGGTAAGAACACTTAACCTGAGCTCTATCCTCTTAGCAAATTTTTAAGTGTACAATAATATATTATTGTTGGCTATAGGTCCACTATTGGATAGAATTTATTCATCTTGCTTGGCTAAAACTTTATGCTCATTGATTAGTAAATCCCCATGTGGCCTTTCCCCCAGTCCCTGGCAACCACCATTCCACTCTTTGATTTTATGAATTGGATGACTTTAGATACCTCGTGTAAGTGGGATCATGCAGTTTTTGGCTTTCTGTGACTCCTCGATTTCACTCAGCAGCATGCTGTCAAGGTTCAGCCAGGTTCTTAAATATTGCAGACTCATCTTCTTTTTAAAAGCTGAATGGTATTTCATTGTCTGCATATATCACATCTTTACCCCTTCATCTGTCAGTGGACATTCAGGTTGTTTCCATACCCTCACTCTTACGCATAGTGCCACAGTAAACACAGGAGTGACAATCTCTCTCAGAGATCCTGGTTTCATTTCTTTTGGATAAATACCCAGAAGTGGGATTGCTGGATCATGAGGCCATTCTACTTTTAATATTTTGAGGACCCTCCGTACTATACACTGTTCCACAGGGGCTGCACCATTTTGTATTCTCACCAGTAATGTACAAGAGTTCCAACTGCTCCACATCCTCAACAACATTGTCTTCCAGTTTTTTTGTTTTGTTTTGTTTTTTTATGATAGTTATCCCTGCAGGTGTGAGGTGATACTTCACCGTGACTTTGATCTGCATTTCCCTGACCATTAGTGATGTTGATCCTTTTTTCACATAATCTGTTGGCTATTTGTATGTCTTTGAAGAAATGTCTGTTCGAGTACTTAGCCAATCTTTTTATAAGTATTTTTATAAGTACTTTTTAAATTTTAAGATTATTTTATAAGTACTTTTTATAAGTATTCGGGGGGTTTTGTTTTGTTTTGTTTTTTTACTACTGAATTGTCAGAGTTCCTTATATATTTTGGAGATTAACCCCTTATCAGATTTATGTTCTGCAGGTATTTTCTTGCATTCTCTAGGTTGCTTTTTTACTTTGTTGATTGTTTTTCCTTTGCGTGCAGAAGCCTTTTTAGTTTGGTAGGGTTCTGCTGGTTTATTTTTGTTTTTGTTGCCTGTGGTTTTGGTGTCATATGGATGAAATCATTTCCAAGACCAATGTCACGAAGGTTTTGCCCTGTTTTTTTTTGTTTTTGTTTTTGTTTTTTTCCAAGTGGTGTTACAGTTTGGGGTCTTATGTTTCAGTCTTTAATCCATTTTGAGTTGATTTGATGTATGGTATAAGGGTCCAATCTCATTGGCTTTGTCCTATCATGTCGATATCTAGTTTTCCCAATACCATTTGTTGAAGAAACTATCCTTTCCCCATTATAGATTTATTACAAACCCTATCGAAATCCCAGTGGTGTTTTTTGTAGAAATTAAAAAAAAAAACCCAAATCTAAAGTTCATATAGAACCACAAAGAAAACAGGAATAGCCAAATCAGTCCTGAGAAAGAAGAACAAAGATGGGGCATCCTATTTCCCGCTCATGTTCTATAAATAAATAAATAAATAATCTTAAAATAAAATAAAATAAAATAAACTACAAAGCTATAGTAATCAAAATAGTATGGTACTGGCATAAAGACAGACATATAAACCAATATAATGAGACATAAATCCATGCCTCCATGGCCAACTGATCTTCAACAAGGGTGCCAAGAATAACCATTTTTAATATATAAAGTTTCTCTAAGTCTCTTTTTCGTTTACCTCAGTGAATACGGCCTCCTACTATACACACCATTTATAGTCTATTTTCCACTGTGTTATCATTATTCTGTATCATCAAATATTTTACAGTATTACTTTGAAATTGAGACATAATTCACTTACTATAAAATTCACCTTTTCAAGTGTTTAAGTACAGTGGTTTTCTTGTATATTTGCAAACTTTCACAACAGTCACCACTATCAAATTCCAGAACCTCTCGTCACCCCCACCACCCTCTCCAAAATCCTGGAACTGTTAGCAGTCACTCCCCCTTTGTGCCCCTCCCTTCATCCCATGGAAGCCACTAATCTACTTTCTGTGTTTAGGGATTTGCCTATTCTGGAAATTTCATATGAATGTACTTATACAGTATGTGGCTTTTTGTGTCTGGCTTTTTTCACTCAATATAAAATTTTCAGGGTTCACCTACGTTATAGCATGGATGAGCATTTCATTCCTTTATTTTTTTTTCTTTATTTCTTTTTACTGATAATAATATCCCATTGTATAGATATACATTGTGTTTATCCATTTATCAGTTGATGGATATTTGGGTTTTTTCCCCCCTACCATTTGCCCATCGCAAATAGTGCTCTTCTGAATATTTGTGTACAGATTTCTGTTTGAATTCTTATTTTCGGTTTTTTAGGGGCAAGGAGTAGAATCGTGGGCCATAATGGTAACTCTGTGCTTAACTTTTTGAGGGACTGCCAAACTGTTTTTTCGCAGTAGTCACACCATTTTACAGTCCCACAAACAATGGACGAGGCTTCTGATTTCCCATAGCCTTGGCAACATTTGTTACCGTCTGTTCGGCTGTACCCATTGCTGGTAGGTGTGAAGTAGTCTCATTGTGGCTTTGGTTTGCCTAGCTCTAATGCCTAATGATGGTGAACATTGTTTATGTGCTTATCGGCCATTTGTATATTTTATGTTCTCTTTGGAGATGTGTCTCTTTGAATCCTTTGCCCATTCATTAGTTGAGTTATTTGCCCCTTTACTATTGAGTTGTAAGAGTTCTTTACATGTTCTGG